TGTTATTATCCTGTTATGCAGATTTGAGTTTAGCGTCAGAAGACTGAAATTACTTCATTGGCAAACGAGAGAGAGGGCTTTTGCAAGGCAAATTTGTATTTCTTTTTTTTTACAAAACAAGTACAATAAAGGCTTTAAAGAGCACAATTTTTAAAATTTTACCAAAGGAAATCTTGAGCAAGAAATACCTTTCAAATAAACATTAAAGGACCATTCTGCATTTCCTCTCAAACCAAAGAAATCTCATTAAATTTGGCGGCTTTTTTGTAAAATTTGTGGCATAATGTTGAGGACTTTTAACAATGCCAAGCCTTTGAAAGGCATCAAAGAAATGTGCACCCCATTAACAGGTTTCGAAGAAAAAAAGAACAACCTGTTAAAATTGGCCCAATTCTTGAATAACGATCACAAAAATGCAAAGAAATTGCCGACATATGCATTAAACTTCAAATTCCAATCGGGAAAAGGGTTATTTTTATTCAATAAAATATTGTGGATTTCACGGTTTTTTTGTGCAGTTTTTAAAGTGGCAATGCATCCGTTCTAATTACAAGAGCTATGGCATAAAATGCTTTTATTTTTTGTAAACTTGCGGCTCATTAAAACGAATTCAATGAATTTGAAATTTAATGGGTGTGTAAATATGTACCCCAAAAAATGCAACAATGTAAACGGTCTGGATATTTAAGAACTTAAAATTTCTAGGCACATAATATTTAGTTTTCAAAATTCTTAAGACTAACTTACACCGAGGTCTAAATTAAGCTATTAAAGGATCGCTGTATATTCAGAATTTCAAGAAGGTGACTCTGGATGGGCTCGAGCTAAGATATTATGGGTGGTGTTAAACATAAATAAATTTACTGCAATTAAATGATCGCTGTATATTCAGAATTTCAGAAAAGTGCTTCTGGATGGGCTCGCGCTAAAATGTTATGGCTTGTAATAAACATAAAAAAATCTGCTCCAATTAAAGGATTGCTGTATATTCAGAATTTCAAGAAAGTGACTCTGGATGGGCTGGAGCTAAAATATTATGGCTGGTATTAAACATAAATAAATCTGGTCCAATTAAAGGATCGCTGTATATTCAGAATTTCAAGAAAGTGATTCTGGATGGGCTCGAACTAAAATATTATGGCTGGTATTAAACATAAATAAATCTGCTCCAATTAAAGATCGCTGTATATTCAGAATTTTAAGAAATTGACTCTGTATGGGCTCGAGTTAAAATATTATTGCTGTTGTTAAACTTAAATAAATCTGCTCCAATTAAAGGATCGCTGTATATTCATAATTTCAAGAAAGTGACTCTGGATGTGCTCGAACTAAAATTAATCTTCTCCAATTAAATGATCCCTGTATATTCAGAATTTCAAGAAAGTGACTCTGGATGGGCTAGAGCTAAAATATTATGGCTGGTATTAAACATAAGTAAGGGACTCTGGACTTGAATAAATCTGCTTCGATTGAACGATCGCTGTATATTAATACTCCTAAAGCATTGCAATATAAGGAATCGAGCTGGAATTTAGCAAATAATGATGAATTCGGTTTCAAGTGGTGTTTGATTGCTGCAGTCGGTCATTCACCGGCTTTAAAGTCATAAAAAATCACCGTTCGAAATTGTGCTACTCTTAATTTTGAAGGAATGAATTTGAGAGGAGCTTTAAGATACAGGGCGAGATGAAAAAAACTGCAACAAAGTTCAGACTGTCATTTCTAAGCCACTCCACCGACAGCTCATTATATTGTTTACAAGCGCACCAAAGCATTTTGGGGAGAATTTTCCCAAAAAAAAGTTATTCGTGATGGAATTCAAGCGTGATTTCTTTATATTTGGCTGGAAACCACAAGAGGCTATCGTTAGAGCACTTCAGCATTTAAATGTGAATAAATCTTTTGTGTCTTGCACCATCGCTCGTTATCGTGATACTGGTGCGTAGCCCGACGTCAAGGACATGGACGGAAGAAAACAGCAACATCAGCAGATGGTTTGAAAAGTAAAGAAGCGACTTGATCGAAACCCGCGTCGCAGTGACCGAAAAGTGGCTCGTAAGCTGAACATATCGCAATATTCCATTCGGCAAATATTGAACAATGAACTGGGGGTAAAACCATTGAAATTTCAAAAAGTGCAAGAACTTACACCGCAACAAAAAGAAAATAGATTTAAAAAATCTACTTCGCTTGTCCTGTGTCTGGAGTATTTTGGAGAGCAAGGTTGGCATTAAAAAATACCAAAGTGTCGATCACCTCAAGCAAGCGCTTCGCCAGGAATGGGCCAAAATACCGCATAGCAACATTCGGGCAGCGTGTGATGGTTTCATTGGCCGTTTGAAGGCCATAATTCGTGCCAAAGGTGGCCAATTCGAACAAATCTATACTTATTCTAAAATTTGATGCTATTTCCGACATTTTTAGCTTTCATTCAATCAAATTTAAAAAAAATGTAAAAATTATGGCGTTTGACTTTGTTGCAATTTTTTAATCTTACCCTGTAGATGCAGCAACGCTTGGGAACAATGATATGTCAAAAATTGTTTTTGTCATAAATAAGTAGATTTTTACATGGTACAATAAAAAGGTAAGGTAGAGCTAACAGCTGATTACAATTTGTTTCTAAGTGTGCCCGACTGATGCCAATTTTGTGTATGTATTTATTGTTTTGAAAAATGAAAAAAAAAAAAAAATATTTTCACAACCAAAGATTGGAAGACACATGAATTGCGGCTCGCGCATTAACGCTATTAACCAATATAGCCATGAAATTGAATGAATGAACAGCTAGGATCATATTTTTGAGAGAAAAATCCAGACATTTCATTAATTTTTCGCGCTTTTTAACTCATTTTAAAAAATGAGGAAAAATATGAAAAAAATTAAAACAATAATTTTGAATGAGTCTGACAGGAAGCGGGCATAGCCTCAGGGCTGTATTTTTGTAGTTTTACGAAATTGTTCTACCTCCTTCTTGTACCATGGATTTTTATATATTTACTTATATGAAGCCAATCGGAGGTTGTTATGGTATGCATTTTTCAAAAGATTTTATTAATTTCAATAATTTTTCATTCGAAAATTGCTTTGACAGTCCATTGCCGCAGCGGCTGTGTCGATGCGACTACATGTATTCTTCTACGAGGGAGCTGTCCAAACATAAAAACACCTTGAACCGTTCTAGATTACCAAGGATATATAAGGATTACAAATGACTGGAAATATTTTTTAAGAAAAAGTGCTTTTCTTGGAACGCATTTAATTTTTTATGAAAAGTCAAAGACAATTGGCCACACATCAACATTAAAGCATCTACTAAATCAGCTGACAAGATACGTGATATTTACAAATTTGTCTAATAACAATACTATTTATTGAATGAGTAAAATGAAATGAAAAGAAAAAATATTTTGGCTAATATTTTGAAACAAATAATCTTGGCGGAATGAGCATCAAGGCAGCACACAAAAGGGAATTGGCTTGCACAGGCGCGTTTTTTAGCATTCATTGCTGTGTTCGTTGGTTCTGATGAAGACAGCCATATTTGTTTTACGATTTGCCGTGGTAGCGAAGGAAGCAACAACTCCAGTTATCCTTGAAATGCGGCAGATTTTTTTCACGCAAGCAAAAAACACAGGGAAGAAAACTTGTTAAAAACCACTCAAAGTTCGTTTTGTTTTTTTTTTTTTGGGTGTGTGAGTGTATTACGAGAATGATGTTGGAATTAATGGCTGATTTTTTGTTGTTGTTGCTGTTTCTTTACATTTCACATTTTGTATGCCATACTTTTTATGCAACCATATTCAGATGTCAAGGATGTGTGTGTGTGTGTGATTGTTTGTGCCGAATTTATAACGCCCCATGGCAATTATATCTTGAAGTGAATCGGGCAGAAATCGAAATTCAATAAGCCTTCCTCTTTTTGCTTTTCTCCCTCTCTTTACGAACGAATTTAGTTATCCTTACGGGGGTTTCTTTTTCAAAACATCAACAACAACAAAATTGTCATTCAAAACCCTGGAATCAATCCATGGAATTTTTAATTGAAGTGTTATATTTGAATGGTGGGCTTGCATGAGCCGGTTGCGCTGGTTGGTGTGATATGCAAACAATAAATATGCAAGCGTTGCAAAACATTCTGCTCTTCTTGGCGGCATGTGTAGAGTGTAGGTTATTGGCAATTGTTGTAGTTAATTGAATTTTAATTTCAATCGTTTTTTTTGTGCCAAAAAAGCCAGTAGGGTTCTGCAAGGCATGGAAATTACTGGTTATGAAGGCGTTGCTAATTTTTTCCCTGGCTGTTACCCATACGCCATAATATATGCCCTCACATACATAGTTTGAATAAGCCGCTCGCTCGCTAGCTCGGTCGTTGTATGCGGCCCATTGTTCTCAATTTTTTCGTGGTGGATTTCATGGTAAGGCTTATAATGGGTGAAGTGCAACCATAATGGCTGCTTAATGCAATTTTGCCATTATGCCAAGTGGCCCATGGGGAGGTAGAGGTAGAGGAGGCAGAAGCATGTGCATGTTCCGCATACTTGAAGTAGCCTCTTTTTAAATTAAAGAAATATTTGTAATTTTCGGCAATTTTGTTTTTTGTGGCCAAAGAACACAATAAATTCTTGTCAAGCAATGCGTTTCAAGTAAGGAAACGTGTGATTTTTGCCACTAATTAAGATGCTCTTGAGGTCCTTTGTGTTTGTATCCTCTTTTGCATCATTAAATTTTTGAAAAAAAAAATTGAATTTTCTAAATCCAGACTTTTATGTGCCGAATGTTATGGCTGCACTGCAGCAATCTCTAAACTTCTTTAATAGAATTTCAAATGAAAGTCATTTCCTGGCAGCAAAGCTTAATCAATGTTTTAAACATAAACCCCGGGCAAAATGTTTGCCAGCAGTAAATTATTCCAGCCATGGCGGACGAATGCACATGCATGCGGTTTGCAATAAATTCAAGTTCATAAAATTTATCTCTTTTTTTTTCCTGTGCCTTACCTGTATACGATCTTCGGCCAAACCCGTTTTCATCGATAGCAATTCCCTGGCACTGACATCCGGATAATGGGCATCTTTGAATGCCTTTTCCAACTCTTCCAATTGATTGCTCGTAAAATGGTACGACCATGACGACGTTTATTTTTCTTTTTACCACTGCCAGCGGGACCCAGTAGAACACCATCTGGCCCCGTGGCAGGATGATGGCCTAGCAAGCCATTTGCTGCTGCCGCCGCCCCGGCTGCACCATTGAGGAAAGCTTCATGATGTGCAGCCGGATTGTGGGCATGGGCATGATGATGAGCAGCAGCGGCTGCTGCAGCCGCATGATGGGCTGCTGCCGCCGCCATGGGATGGCCATGATGTTGGGAGTGTGAGTGGGCGTGATGGGCTGCAGCCGCCGCAGCAGCATGATGGGCCAATGCAGCTGCAGCATGCTCAGCAGGTGACAATGTTGGACGCGTGGGGGTCGACGGCTGATTGGAGGAATTATTTGTGGAATTTGGTGTATTATTGGCGGAAGAGGATGAGTTATTTTGGCTGCTACTGCTGGCTGATGTTGAACTGGATTTACTGGGTGAGTTTTCATCATTGTTGTTGTTATTATTATTGCTAAGTGCTCCGGCATATTCGGCACTGACTCTTGTTGCTTGGTCTGCAAGGGGAACAAAGGTAAGAGAGCAATAATTAATAAATTATTTAAGAAATAAAAATTAATAATTATTTTTTTCAGGACAACAAACAAAGTAAAATGAAATAAAAAAAAAAAATTTAAATTTGAAACAAAACGAGATAATTAACAAAGTATGGAGAGAATGTTGAGTTCGCCATTCCGTTTGTAACTCATCGAAATAATAATTTTAGACCCTACAAAGAATATATGTTCTGCATCAGCGTAAAATTCTAATACGATTTAGCACTGTCCGTTCTTCCGTCCGTCCTTTTGTTGTAATCACGTCAGAGTCAAAACGAATAAAGATAGGAAGCTAAAATTTTGCATAGACCAGTCTTTTGTCTGCAGACAGGTTAAGTTTGAAGTTGGGCTATATCGGTCCAAGATATCGTATAGCCCCCATATAACAGTACCCCTGATATTCGGTATTTTGATGACGGCAGCCAAATTTTTCAATCGAATTGTCTGAAAATCCACACAAGGAGTTCCTTCTAAGTACTTTACCTCCTGAAAGAGTATTATCTATATAGGTCCACGATATCGTATACCCCCCATAAAACTGTATAAGTGGCTATCGTTAGAGCACTCCAGCATTTAAATATGAATAAGTCGTTTGCATAGCGTAGTCCGAAGAGGACGCCGGCCATGGTGATGGTGTGGGCCGCCATAACAGTCGATGATCGCACTCCGCTCGTATTAATCGACCCTGGCATCAGAATAAATGCCGAATATTATCGCGAAAATATTCTGGAGGGTCTAACAAAGCCTTGGACACGTAAACATTCTGGCAACAGACCTTGGACATTCCAACACGACTCAGCATCATCGCACTCAGCATGCGCCACGCAAGAATGCAAAATGAACTTCCTCTCTTCATTTCCAGCGCACAATGGCCACCAAAATCTCTGGATAATAATCCGTTGGACTATTGTGTCTGGAGCACTTTTGGAATTCAATGTTGGCACTAAAAAATACCAGAGTGTCGATCACCTCAATATCGATCTTACCCTGTATATTCTTCTAATTCTAATTAATTTCTTCAAAATCAACGGTGATTGTTGTCAAACACCACTTGAAGCAGAATTCACTATTATTTGCTAAGTTCCAGCACGATTTCTTATATTGTAATGCTTTAGGAGTATTAATATACAGCGATCCTTTAATTGGAGCAGATTTATTTATGTTTAGTACCAGCCATAATATTTTAGTTCGAGTCCATCCAGAGTTACTGTCTTGAAATTCTGACGTTTATTAAAATTTACTTAACGCGTATGTAGTGCAATTTAAGAACACTGACCAATTTGGATATTTGCAGCTCGTCATGAATACTACAGCCTATGACTGAAAATTGTCTATGCAGGTCCAGGTCTTCGTGTAGGCCCGATGTAACGGTACCTACCTATATTTGGTATTTTGATGATTTTAGCTACATTATTGACATGATTTTTTTTTTTCAAGTTTTGTATTTGAATATTGTAATGGCCTATTGCAAAAGTTGCATATGCAAGTCCACCTCTAACGGCCGGATTCAATTTTTTTTAGAAAATTTTCAAATTCGTTCCAAATATTGGAGGACATTCAAAATTCGGCCCGGCCGAACCTACTTCTTTTTTACGTGTGTAATAATAAATAGCTTTTTAGGCGTCTAGAACACCTAAATAATTGACTTTCCAATATATTTCAGAACAAACTTCATTTAATTGCGCAAACAATGGAAATCCCGCCAAACCCCTACTTTCACTTTTCTGCCTTAAGATGTGTGAAAATCCTGCAGACAACCCTTTTTTTAACTCACCACCATTACGACCAATTGACATTTCAATAATCCTGTCTAGAGAGTAACATATCAATCCTTCTACTCATGTTTCGTAGCAAAACATTTGCCAAACTTCATTCAGCTTATCACAAATTCAGAAATCTTTGCAAAGGTATTTACAGTTTATCGAAGAAAACAACAAGGATTTCGGTTACAAGGAAATAGGTTTACCTTCTGCTCTTTTTTTCTTGGTTCCTTTTTTTGGGTGAATACGAAATAAAAACATACATGTGTTGTCAAGGCAACGTGCCATCATTTGATCCTTTAAATGTTTGCTTTTGCTCTATTGTAAAGAGATTTCCATTTCTTTTGTTGTTTGGGCATACACGTTTGGGTGCGGTGTATTATGACAATTTAAATGCTTTGGAGGAAAAAAAGGTGCGAAAAATATGTGTGTGTGCGTGATTTGATCTCAGATTGAATTGATGATTTTAAGAGAATTTCCTTATTCTTGTGGTTATTGTTGGGGCAATTATTGTGATTTTCTTTTATTTATTTATTTTCTTTTTCAAAATAAGGATATGAAGATAAGGCGTTACTTTAATGGGTGTATTGTTGTGATATTTAAGAGGAAATTTGAAAACAGTTTGTGCGTAGGAAAAAAAGGATTTAAATTAAAGAAATTATGGCTTATTAGGGATTATGTGGCGAAGGAACACCAAAAAGAGCAACATATTTAATGTGGCCAGTTGTGGAGAGGTTACTAATTAAGAGAATAGGATTTTCAAGGAAAATCGGTAGTAAAAATAGCATTTGATAAGTAAATATAAATATAAAAAAATAAAGAGAATAAAAAATATAGAAAGTAAAATAAAATAAAAAGAAAAAAATATACACAATATACCAAAGTGAAGCGGAATAAAAAATAAAATAAAAGTAACTTTAAGTTAAATGAAATAAAAAGAAAAAAAAGCGTTCCAGAATTGAGACAATCATTTAATCTAATTAGACTTCAGAAATGTCCTATGAAAAGTAAACACTTTAGTGGATCTTGGAATCAGAGCACGATTTTATTAAAGTGTGGAGTAAGGAACTCATGTATCCTTAAGTCGCAAACATTTATATACGTAGCTTGGGCGCCATGTATTAGAATATTCATCGATAATAACGAGATCGTTTATCATGTCATGATAAGCGTCATGTTTTTCAGTACAAGAATATAGGTAGATGCATCAACGCTTGAGAAGATTGATATGTCAAAATTGTGCTTTGAAAAAAATAAGTCGATTTTTATATGTTTTCCTATACGACGCAAATCGTTGTATTTTTCAACAATTTGTACAAATTTCAATAATTTTTCATTCACGATTTTCAGTATCAAAATCGGTTTGACAGTTCATTGCAGCTGTGTCGATGCGACTACCTGTATTCTTCTACCATGTTTTTCTGTTAATATATCTCAAACAATTGCATGATAGAATAATGCAGGTGGGTGGAAAAGCACTTCTGAACATTAGTAGATTTTTTATAAAAAAATATATTGTTCAAAAATTTTCCAACAATTTCTAATTCGGAAATGTTTATTAAGTTTTACAGCGCAATGAAATAAAAAGAAAGAAACAATCATCTGTTGGAACATCACATCATTTCATGAATAGGGATCCCTAAGTCCATTTATTGACTTTTGGGGCGTAAAGTAAAATGAAATAAAAAGACAAAAATATCACAGAAAAAATCGTCAAGAAATCTCATGTCATGGAAACCATTTTCAAAATTGTTCGCAAAAATCTAAATTACGCAATGTTCAACAGGTTATACAGTATAATGAAATAAAAAGAAAATATTGATTATCTGTAAGGAACATCATGTCACGGTAGGGATATGTAAGTCGACTTTCGATTTAACCTTAATCTATTTCATTGGACTATTTGACTATTGTGTCTGGAGCACTTTTGGAATGCAAGGTTGGCACTAAAAAATACCAAAGTGTGCAAGTAAGCAAGCACTTCGCCGGGAATGGGCCAAAATACCGCAGAGCAACATTCGGGCAGCGTGTGACGGTTTCATTGGCCGTGTGAAGACCATAATTCGTGCCAAAGGTGACCAATTCGAACAAAACTAAACTTTTTTTCTAAAATTTGATCCTATTTCCGACATTTTTTGTTTGACTTTGTTTCAGTTTTTTTTTTATCATACCCTGTAAACAAAAATTACCCAATATTGCGTTTAAGAAATGAAATAACATAGTGCCATAATTTTTCATCTCAAATTCGAAATATTACTTATGTGCTTCAGTGGTGGTGGGTATTCTGGGACAGCGATAGGCAATAATCTATATTTGTTTTCGGATTTTACCACATACTCTATGTTAAAATGGTCCTAACACACATGTGATGTGGCTGTAATCTTCACTTGACAAAGTGTACTCCATTTTCCCTGATTTTTTCATCCTTTCGGATGGAAAAAATTAACTCCTCCCTGATACCTCTTTCTTTTGGCAAATCTTGCATATTCTCATTGTTCATTCTTTGAAAAATAAAAAGCAATTTAAGGTGAGAGTACATAAACAGCTTGGTGTCTTCGCTTGGCATATTTTGTGACATATAATAAAGGCCAGAGCCGCACTCAAATTCTGCCGTCGTTTCCCTTTATAATTTGACATTAATATACCAAGGCATGAGGGTGAGGGTACATAAGAAGCCAAGCATTATTATTATTTATATTATTTATTGCTTTTTATATTTTTTCTATTGCAATTTTTGTGTGTTACTTTTTTTTTCTTTTTTTAACAAATTTAAAATGTCCAAAGAATTATTTTCGCATAACAATAAAAATCATGTTTTGACGTTTGTTTTTGGTTGCAAGAGGTTCAAATTTATTTTGACAGATCGTTTGGTAATCAACTCAGCTGGAAGGGGGGACCTTATACTTGGATTATGAGTCGGTAAAAAAGCTTTACATGTACTTGAACCCCTTAAGTCATCGTCTGGCTGCTTCTTCGTAAAAGAGAAAAAGGAGTTTTAGGTTAACTCAGTTCAATCTCGCTCCATAATTTATGAACAAGTATAAATTATGGAGAGAGAAAACCTTCGCTCAATTTTATATGGCATCTCTTAGGTAAGCATTTACGATTTTTTCAATTTCTGGTATAACTGAATATATTTTGCTTAAAAAAAACTTGTGCGGTTTTATTAAAGTAAATAGTTTTAAAACTTTTTCAAGATCTTGATATACAAAAAATATATAACAGACATATATTAAACAAAATTTTTCAATTGTTTTACAGAAATTTTATGTGTTTTATATAACCGGTAAAAATTACCGGTGGTCTGTACTAACGTTCTTATAATTTGATGTCTGTATTTAAAGGTTTAAAAATACTCCGAAGAAATGAAAATAGGTTTGAAATTGCATTTCCGGTTTCCTTCACAAATTCCATTTCACTTTCTTTGATTTTTTTGGAAATATGATCTGATACAACTGCCAATCACACACTCAGAGTTTTGTTTTCTCTTCTTCCAAATGACAATAGGACGCATCAAATTAATTGAACAATTAATTTGCCAATTTTCCAACAATGAAAGAAAATTTCCCAAATACAATTAAGAACAAATAAAACTTGTTAAAGTATCGCATGACCACAAAAACTAGACGTAAGTCGTATTTATGCTGCTTTCATTTTCCAAAATTTCTCGTCACTTAATTTGAACTAAATGTCGGAGAATTAGAAAAACATATGGAAGAGAATTTGTGAAATTAATACCCAAAATATTCTTTGGACGAAAACAAAAGAAAGGTATAAATGAGCTGGTGGTGTTGGTGGTGGAAGAGTAAGGGGCCAGTGTTCCGCCATGCTTCATTGAAGCATATCAACAAAAGGATGTTGGAAAAAAGGCTGGCTGGCTGGCTATCTTTGGCTTAAACCAATTTTGTAATCAATTAGTGGGCAAGGAGAGGGCTGCATGCCGCCGGCCCAGCAACAAAACATAATTGTTAATTGATGTGTATATAATATGCTGATGATGGCAATGATGACCAGTGGCCAGAGGCAGGGCCAGGCCAGAGAAATATCCCCAGAGCATGCTAATGTGCCAGCTCAGCAGGAAAAACCAGAGGAAAATTGTTTAATTAGTTTTGAAGGATTATTAGCAATTATGGGGAAAAATAAGCAAAGAGTAGAACACAAAAAAAAAATAAATAAATCAGGTTGTGTGTGGCCAGTAAAATTTATTTATAGATATTTTTTTCCTCCAAAACTAATTAAGAGAATTGCCAAAAGAGATTTTAAAAATTTAACAATATTTGAAATTAAAAACTTATTGATTTTTTTTTTCAGAAATTACCCAGACATTCCAATTATTGGCAAGCATTTCTTAGACGTTTTATCCGCACAAAAAAAAAAGAAAAATAATTGCCAATAATACCCTTAAGGTAATTTACATAAACCTTAATTTACCTCTCCTTGCCGGGTTTATTGTAACATTTTTGCCATTTTCATTCATAGCAAATACTTGGCAACGAAGAAAAGGGAAACGAACCCGAAAACATAAAGCCAACGAACGGAAACTACTGTTGACAGGAAATACACTTGAAATTGGCAATTTTGCATTTACGTTAATAATACTCAAGCGTATTTACCAGGAACACTAGTAGGAGTAGTAGCATTGCTACTTTACAACTAACTATGTTGCCGCCAATCTTTATCCTGTGACAAGAACAACCTTCACAACCCAACAACAACATCTTGCTAGCCCCGTATAAATAAGTAAGTGTTAAAGGAAAGGAACAGTCAAATTGCTGGGCTAGAGAAGTAAAATCGTCATTTGATGTGGAAGGTAAAGAAAGACATGAAATTGACGACGATGACAACAAGAAAATTGGTATTTTAATGCTCCAAGGCATTAAGTTAAGGTTCCTCGAAAATATATTTTTGGTGGATTTTTAAGGGCAGGCTTGGAAGCCGCCAATATATATTTAACTACGGAGTATGTGCATTTATTGGTAATATAGAGTCATTTATTGGAAAAAACATCAAATTTTGTCTCCAGGTAAGGTGGAATGAAAAAGAAGAAAATAATATTAAAGTAAAATGAAATAAAAAGAAAAAATACAAAACGGAACGGAACGGAAAATGAACAGCAATGTGGAGAAGTAAAATATGTTAAAATGAAATAAAAAGAAAAAATATTTATGAAAACGAGTTGGTTTCAGAGGAGATAATTTTCTCAACGGAAAAATGTGGAGAAGTAAAAAAAAGTTAAAATGAAATAAAAAGAAAAAATATTGATGATAACGGAATTGGTTTCGGAACAGAAATTTTTCCTCAACGGAAAAAACTTCCCCAGAATCGGGAAAGGGTTAGTACAGACCACCGGTAATTTTTGTCGGTTATATAAAATACATAAAATTTCTGTAAAATAATTGAGAAATTTGTTTAATATATATATATCTGTTTATATATTTTTTGTATTTCAAGATCTTGAAAAAGTTTTAAAACTATGTACTTTAATAAAACCGCACAAGTTTTTTTTTTTAAGCAAAATATATTCAGTTATCCCCGAAATTGAAAAATCGTAAATGCTTACCGGTAAAAATTACCGGTCATCTGTAGTTAATGGTTAAACATGGTACAATAAGGAGGTAGAACAGCTTCGTGAAATTAGAGAAATCTGGCAAAACTTGTTAATATCATTAACGTGCGACCCGCAGTTTAAGTTTCTTCCAATCATTGATTTTGAAAATATTTTGCTTTGTTTGTTTTTCAAAACAATAAATACATACATAAAATTGGCAGAAGTCGGGCATACTTAGAAAAAGAAATTGTAAGCAGCTGGTAGCTCTACATTACCTTTTTATTGTACCATGGTATTGAGGATGAATTTGTTTCCCTTAAGGAAATAATCTTAAGGTGAGAATACATAAAACGCTTTTTTGACTGGCTTAAGTATCGGCTGGCTACTTCCAAAAAGAACAAATGAGCGTAGGACCACAATCGAACCTAAAAATCCTTCGTTCCTCTACGAAAAACCAGCCAATGATTTAAGCCAGCCAGAAAAAGCTTTTTCTGTTCTATCACCTTTGAGCCCAGAGGATGGATTTCTTTCACTAGACTAAACATTTGTATTATTATTAGGCGTTGAAACCGTTTTATTCAGAGCTCACTGGATTAAAGGAAAGATACACTTTTGCTCTGACTTGCGGTTTTATTGAGAGTGAAACTTAGGCTGCTTAACCTAACGTTGTAAGAGCGTAACGTAGACAGCATGGTAGAAGACTACAGGTAGATGCATCAATGCTTGGGAAAATTGATATGTCAAACATTTTTGAATATTTCTTCAGAAATAAGTAGAATAGGAGGTTGTTAAGATATGGATTTTTTTTTACAATTTTTACAAATTTTAATAATTTTTCATTTAAAAAATTCAATTCCAAAATTGGTTTGACAGTTCATTGTCCCAGCAGCTGTGTGGATGCGACTACCTGCATTATTCTACGACGGTAGACATTGAATAGTAACGATACTAGGAACGGATTTTTTTTCGATGGGAAAAGATCCCAAACTAAATGTGATTCAAAGTAAAATGAAATAAAAAGAAAAAATATGGACAAGGCGGAATTAGTTTCTGAAGAATTATATTCCTCTATGGGGAAAAAAAGCTTTCTTTAGGAAAAACTCCCACAAAAGCGTTTTGGTGAGAATTTTCCAGGGTAAAGCCATTGAAAGTGCAAGAACTTACACCGCAACAGAAAGAAAATATACTCAAAAAAGCTAAAGTGGTGAACTGCCGAATTTGGTTTTTTCCGATGAGAAAAACATTCGTTGTCCCGAAGTTTGTAAACAAACAAAATGATCGTGTTTACTTGCCAAAGAGGTCAGTTGAAAATGTGCACTAGAACTCAAGCATCGGTCATGGTGATGGTGTGGGCCGCCATAACAGCCTATGGTCGCTCTCAGCTCGTATAACCGACCGTGGCATCAGAATAAATGCCGAATTTTATCGCGATAATATTCTGGAGGGTATATTAAAGACTTGGGCACGCAAACATTTTGGCCGCATACCTTGAATATTCCAGGACAGGACTCAGCACCATCGCACTCAGCACGAGCCAACCAAGAATGGTTACAAAATGAGGTTCCTCGCTTCATTTCCGGCACACAATGGCCACCAAAATCTCCGGATACCAATCCGTTGGACTATTGTGTCTGGAGGACTCTTGGAAAGCAAGGTTGGTTTAGAAAATGCAAAAGTGTCGATCACCTCAAGCAAGCGCTTCGCCGGGAATGTACCAAAATACCACAGAGCAACATTTGGGCAGCGTGTGACGGTTTCACTGGCCCGTTGAAGGCCATAATTCGTGCCAAAGGTGACCAATTCGATCAAATCTAAACTTATTCTAAAATTTGATGCTATTTCCGACATTTTTTGTTATAAAAAATTTAAAAATATATATTTTTAAATATTTATTTATATAAAATTTAAAAACTATGGCGTTTGACTTTGTTGTAGTTTTTTTATCTTACGCTTTTTATATAACCTAAAAATCTTTCCTTTGAAAACAATAGTTTCAAGGGTAATAGTAATTTTCGAGTCCTAGGACTTTTCTTAAATTTCCCTTCAACCTTGACGATAGAAAAAAATGGATTGAAATTCCATTTCTTAATTTTCTTGCCACTAATTAGTCCACAGCACCTTGTCCCATAACCTATCCGACTACGATCTAATCTCGTCACGAAATAAAACAGCTCTTAATGTTAATTAATGCATTTTTTCCTGTTTGCCAAGTAAATGTAAACACTAAACTACAGATCAAGTGTCTGATTAAGGTTTTACACGGTAATTAATCAAAAAAATAATGAAAATCGACTTTTTTTTCTGCGCTATCGATGATGACGATGATGATGGCGGCGGCGGCGTCCAACGGAAATGAGAGGGAAAATATTTGCCATTCATTAGAGGTTTGAATATTTCGCTGTTGAAAAAAGTAAATTGAAATAAAAAGAAAAAATATCCAACAACAACAACAATGCCAACCAATTTCCAGTAGAGTGAGTATGAGATTTGATTTCGAAAGCATTTCCGTAGTATTTATTTTCATATTTTTTTTTTTTGCGACGTTCTCTGTGTGTGTGTGTCTGCTCTGGTGCTTGCTCTATTTGCTTGCCAATTTTCCAAAGCTACTGATTGCTAACTAGCATGACTGTTTTTTCAGCTATTCATCATTTGATACTCGAGTGCTGGTAGTACTACTGCTGCTGCTGCAGATGTTGTTGTTGTTGCTAGTGGTTGTTGCTGGTGTTTCTGTTGTTTTGCCATTATTATTCCTACTTCTATCCGGTGCTGGGCCAGAAGTATATGGGAGGAAATAATATTCCTTTCTGGCATGAGAGACGACGGACGGACGGACGGATGGGTATAATGGCGTCGACTAAGTCAGCCAGTTAGTTGGGGGCAAGAGGCAAAATACACAAACGCCAGCCAAGTTTGGAATGGGGATTGGCAAAGAAAATTCCAAGAGCAGCAAAAAGTTAAAGACCGTTGTGTGAGTAAGCATTGTTGGTTTTATGTTACGCTTATTTTCCAATTTTCTTCTAGTATTGTTTTGGCTATATACTTGGCTATATATATGTCTGGGTATATACATACAGTCGTAGTCACTTTATATACACACACACACACAGAAATTCCATAGTATTTCGTTTTTGGCTTTCATTGAGTTTTCCACCATTTACGAATTTTATTTACATACCAACAGACATTTGTATGTCGGTATGTATATATTTGGCTTTTACATTTTAATGATTGTTATGTATTTACATACAGACAAAAGGGAAAAATGCCTTTGTTTGTGGCTCTCCGTTTCTCCCTCTCTCTTTCTCTCTCTCTCCCTGAGTTGGCAGCTATTCACCGACTTATTTATAACGCCAGTGAAGCTTAAATTAAATAATTGGATAATTTGTAGAGGTTTAGGTTTTCAATTTGAGGTAGACGACGACGTTAGAAATGGATGGTTGGCAAGGTATTGTTGTTTGAAAAACCCGAGGAAGATGACGAAGAAAACGAAGTATTGCCAGCAAAGAATAATGAGAACAAAGCACAAATGAAATGGGAGTATGAATTTGTAGCAAAAAAAAATTCCCAAAAGGAAAAAGAAATCAAATTATAAGAAAGAAATTCATAGCAGAAACCGAAAAACGTTCAGTGATTGTCAAGATATTGAGTATTCGAAATTGGTTTGCTATTGTGTGTTGGCTTCGCTTTGTTATTGTTGTAAACTGAGTAGACTTATATTATGGTGATTGGCAATTAAATTGAATGAGAGCAAAAAACAAAAAAAAAAAAAAAAAAAAAAAAAAAAAAGAACGAAAGAAATACGAAATATTAAAGTGAATTGTTGTCGTTTTCAAATGCAAATTGGGTCTGGAAAGTTAAATGTCAAAAATAACTAAGAGTTAAATGAGGAGCCGTGCGTCATCCTAAAAGGTTCCCTGTGTGGGAACATACGGAAAAGTTCGTTCTAAGGAAAATATTCTAAAAGTTTTTTGACTCCTGGAAAAAGGCAGAAAAGTAAATTGTAATGAAAAGAAAAAATTCGAGAAAGTGGAGCTTACTACGAAAAATTTTGGCGTAAAAAAGTTAAAATGAAATAAAAAGAAAAAATTATATTTACATATATAGACATTATATTCTTACGAATCAAGTGATATATTTGACGGAAAAGAGGAACTTGAAAATGAATCGTTTTTTAATTTTTTGAGGAAAAACAACGGAGTTAATTGTGGTGTTGCGCGCATGGTAGAAGAATAATATCAAATTTTTTTTAAACTTTTTGTCAAAAATAAGATAAGTAGATTTTTATATGTTTTCTTACACCAAGCCAATCGGAGGTAGAAATAACATGTATTTTTCAACAATTTTGAATATTTTTTCATTAAAAATTTTCAATTCCAAAATCGGTTTGACAGTTCATTGTCCCAGCAGCTGTGTCGATGCGACTAGCTGTATTGTTCTACCATGTTATATTCTAACGAATCATGTGATATATTTGACGGAAAAGAGGAATTTTGGAAATGGAGCATTTTAAATATTTTAGAAAAAAAAAATACGTAGTTAATTATGGTGCCCACGTCTTCATTCCTGCTCTGTTCCAGTACCTACAGAGAATCTACTAATTTTGGATTTTTTTTTTTGATACCATAAAGGGAAAATCGGCTATCGTAGTAAAAATTTTTGAATTCTGGAGCAGA